AGTAAACATTGTAATCACTTAATTTCACAAGCAGAATCACTGTAAACAATGTTTTCAGGTAAATATCAATTTATTTAAATATGAACCCTAATAAAAATATATTGTGGCATTAAAGGATGGCTGCTAGTTGAAGTGATCCTTCTTCAAATCAACAAAGTTCTAAGACTCACAGTTTGTCATCTCACTGGGTGCTTGATGTATTCATTCATTTTAATATTTTTATCAAGCCATATATTTCTTGAACCAAAAAAGTCCTCATTAGTAATGACTTATTAATCACAGTTACCTGCTCAAAATGCATTTACTAATTTCTGCAACATGTGGTTTATCAGAGGGCCCGCTCAGGTCACAATCACACAGACCATGTGTCAACCAAACCAATGACTTGGAGACACATACAGTAAAATAAAACAATTGTAAGAGTTAGGATAATAATAATAATTAGGATTATTAGTACGCTTGCTTGGCTTTACTTTGGTAATATTTTCGAACTTTTCACATGCCAACTCATTTGGCAAAATGTTCTAATCCCCCAAGTTGCTCACTTAGGAGTTGTTGATCAGTGTGAAGTGCTTGCATGATTTATACTGTTCATTTGGAAAGTTTGCAAGACACTGTAGTGAGTCTTTTGTAGTGAGATAAAAGAGGGGACTTGAGAGCAGCCTTTAACTCACTTATTTTCAAGAGGGGTCAATGACCTTTGCTTGGAGAGATGGGGAATACTGCAATACTTCAACTCAATCTGCACCACAACGAAAAAAAAGTATAAACTGTCAAGTCTGGCCTTGCCTCCATTTTCAGCCTGGTTCCCTCCAAAGAAGCTCTTGAAATAGGAAAACAATAGCAGTAGAGCGTTTTGTTTAACTGTTTGAGTTGGGGAATGTTTGTATTGATAATTAAGGCAGGGTGTGACAGTGAATGATTTGTAGAAACTTTAGATAACTTATCAGTGGTCCCAAGACGGTGGCTCTGTTGTATCTATCAGACAAATATGTCAACCTATAATGGATTACATTGGGGTCACTGATAAGTCTCAATCAAGAGAAAGTAGCACATTGTGAGGCCAGTCAAAATTGATTGACTATCTTATTAACTCTTTGTTTGCTTAACTGCCTTGGATTTAGTCTACATTATCCTTTTAAATACTTCCCCTAACTTAACACTTTTATCTTTAACAGTATCTCTTCTATGGAAAAAATCCATCGGATTCATAGAAGGTGTGATTGTGTCAAAGGGATCAGACACCTTGCTCCACATTTCTTGCTGACCTATCAGCCCCAACAGCTGTCTGTGCCACTATATTTTGGAAAGAGGGAAGAAACTGATTTTTGCTACTGTACAGGATATGAGTAATAACAAAATGAACGTTTATTTTGGCCTGCAACGGTCCAAAGTAACAACCTACCAGTTCTGCTATTCCAGAGTTTTTGCTGGAGCTTTTCCAAATGGCTTTTTTAATGAGACTGCTGAAGAAAACATATGACCTACAAGTCTGCAGGCTCTATCCTTCTTTTGCCTATGCTTGCCGCTACACCTTTTCTGTTGTTTGTGTTTCTGCAGGGTTTGATTGTATTTTTCTTGTTCTCTTCCCTCCTTTTTCGCCATTCTGTTACTATTATAAACGCCAAAGACATACAAACTTGTAAAATTGGCAGCTAGTTTTCTAATTGCTCCAGTTACAGGTTGTTAGAGCAGCAGACCCCATGTCAGCTGTGGCCTCATTACTGCTGCTGAATGTGCTCCGGCTGACCAACATGCTGTTATTGGTTTGAACGTAAGCGTGAACAGGTGTGTGTGCACGTGTGCTTGTGTGACAGCTTATGTGTTGGCCTCAATGTATATGTGTTTTTGGCAAACACTCACTAATTTGTGTCTGTACATATATGTGCATTTTTGTGGTTGTGTGTCTTAGTGTGCCTATGTGCTAGTGTGTGACCTTGCATCTGTAAAGCAGCAATCACAGCCTGTTAGTCAGAGCCCCAGCTGGATTTGTCTAAATATAGTTGTGACCACAGTCAGACCAGACCAGGAAGCTGATTACCCTGAGAACCAATTGTCCAAATATATCTCAGCTAAAATGATGAGAAAAAGGTTTGGTACAGACATAGGTTACACACCGGCTAGTCAGATAGGTTAGGCTTTGGCAGTAAAAATGTTATGCTAGCAATGGCATGACGTTTCATGAGATGGCTCTCAGCCTTGTTTGGAGCTGAAATACTTTTGGTGGGTCACCTGGCATCAACTCCCTTTTAGATTTCACTCATTCATTTGAATGACTACAAATAATTAGTTGTCCTTGCTTTATGTCCACATTAGAGCATGTACACAGAGGAAACATGCCCTGTTGTGTGATTCTGACAGAGACACTGGACATAAAGACTTGTGCCAGCCGGTCAGCCAAAGGGGCCTATGCTAGCCCGTCCAGTTGTTCATCACTCAGTCACAACACCAACAGGGGACACACCGGGATATTAGGCCTAATGGTGTTGAAGCACACCAGAGGAAATCATTTTCATTGGCTAATATTGAAACACCTAATTTTTCAAGGCTCTTGACTTATTTTAATTTCATTTATTTGTATTCCTGGGGCCCTATGTTTAAATAAAAAAGTTATTGACTTAAAGGAATACTGTGAGGTCAGAGGCTGCTTATTCAATGAGAAATGTAAGTTCAAGCCAAGGACCTGGTTTATTAAATTATGAGTCAGGATCCTAAATGCGTTGTTGGGACCACTTCTGGTGGGTCTCCACATTATAGGAGAAGAAGTATGCTTTAATGAATTTGGCTCGCCAGGCTACAGACTGTTTCCAATAAGGACACTGTACTGACTGTAACCAGTGGATAACATTTTGTGAGTTTGCCATGTTCCATTCACAAGTTATATGGTATAGTTCAGTCACTTGTTATTGCTGTTGATGCTGCAGGTGTGAGCACTTTTATTTCTACTTCTTGGAGGCTTTTGATTCTTTCAAAGGCTGTGGTAACAGTAAAAGAGCTGCTCGCCAAAAAGCTGTTTACCATGTTGCAGCAAGTATCACAGTCTGTGCCAGCTACTTAATGAAATCTGATGAGTGTCTGGCTGTCCTCACATCCAGCATTCCCAAAACACCCTAATGAGAGTTTCTGCTTCTCATTTAGCTGATAGATTCAAGTTGCTGTTTGCAAAGAATCAGGCATAATATAATAAAAACAGGTGCATAATTAAAGTTTTAGACGACCACATGCACATGACAGCTACCCTGAAAAGCTATTAACACTGGAAAAAGCCAACCAACTTTCATCCCTTGCCAGCCCTCCCATTGCAATGGCTTTGCAGGCACATTTGCTCTGCATGTGGGGACATTGTTGTTACTGGGTCCCATTCACTTTCTTTTGTTCAAAAGTGTTATCTGCTACGTGTACACACACACAGGCATGCACATGTTTGTTCACACAAAAGAACATTGATTTGATTAATGTCCTTCTGTATAGCTTCAAACAGTGTTGGTTTCCTACGGTAGAGAAGCATGACATTGCATGGTTCACCATGGTGCCAAATGCACCATATGTTCCAGGGAATTCAAAATGTATATGTGCGCTGTCGGGGTAAACTCATTGACCCTGTCAGGTTTGGAGTTTCTCTCTCTTTGTTTTTCCTGTGCCTCTGACATCTCTCTTTTACAAACTCTCTCTCGTTTTCTGTCTCATAGTAGTCCCCCTTTGAGACAGCAGGCAGTTAAGAACTCTGGGCTTGCCTGTGTGCAGCTAACAGCTCATGTCACCCTGCTGAACCACCCAGGAGTAGAATAAAGGGAACGATAAAGAGACACAGAGAAGGAGAGGGAGGGAAGCAGAGGAGTTAAACGATTGCAGAGCTGCTGAGCGGAGGGAGAGTCCCCCTGACATATCCCACACTCTGAACTAGGAGCAGACCAAAATGGATGTGTGATTAAATGAACTGTGATGCTTGTTCCTGGCACGCTGCAGCCATCCCTGGAATTAGTCACAGTGATATTTTCACCGAAAAAGAGGCTGCTCATTTAAGTAGCACCTCTCTGCCTCCATTACAATACGTAGTCAAGCATATGTGCATGCACGCCCCGAAAAGTTGATGTGAGGGCGGGGGGCACCTCATCAAACACCCAACTGAAGAACCTCTCAGAACAGATGAGAGGGAAAGAGCAGTGGAACCTCAAACAGCTTGTTTTGCAGTGTTGAGTTCAGGCTCCCTGGGAGTTTTTCCAGTGAACAGACGTTCCTGGGGACACAAAGCGAGGGAGGGACAAGGGGAGAGGGAGAGTAACTGAGGATGACAAGTGCTCCGTCAGTCCCAGCACTGTGTATAATGCCATACTTTGGTTGGTGGCCTCATGTCATGGATGGGATCTTGTGTGTGTGTGTGTGTGCGTGTGCGTGTGTGTGTGTGCACGCGTGTGTGATAAATGAGAGCATTGTCTGCTGAGGTTCTGATGGACAGGGTCCTGGAGGACACCATCCTTCTGTGCTGTTACCTCATCCCCCTAAACGCTCCACTCATCAGCTTGTCATACACACACATTCACACAACCTCTCTCCCTCCACACTCTTGGAGACAGATACAATGGTTAATGCATAGAGATTATACTAAGGGTCAGGTTTCTGGGCTGTTCATCTCTTCACATAAATCATTATCACAGTTTTGATGGAGGGGAGAGATGGTCGGCGTCAAAGAGGAGAACTGCACCTGTCTGCCAAGTAACTAAGGAACACTTGGCTTGCACTTGGTAATTCTTCTATTTGCTGTTGGAATGAAGTTCCACCTATTTGGCCACTCATCTATGAGCTGTTTTATATTGTGATGTGATATTGATGGATTCATGGAAGTCATGAAATGGGTTCCATTTCCTTAAATGTATGTTGGCACTTAAATGCGACTCTCCATTCTGTTATTTATTATTGACACTTCATCATTCTCTCTCTTTTTCCATATACTATTCATTATCTAACTCTGTCTTTCTTCATCTAATATCCCTCTATTCCAGGTGCAAGAGATCTTCGGTCCCCACCACAGAGTGTATTTTTGAGCTTCCCCACTTTACTGTCCAGGCAACAAGGGCCCAGACGCTTTTGCTCCAAGCGATCTGTCAGAGCTGGACCCACAGCATGGTCAATGGATCCCCGGTGACCCTCAGCGAAAGACTGCTCCGTGAGGTGTACAGAGGTCCAGGTAAACAGCATTCTCTACTCTAGACAATATGAGATATGAACATTGTCTGTTGTTTCACAGCATATTATGAAGTTATTAATTAATTTGTCTTTTGTGCTGATCTCTGAGCAGTAGTTCAGTTAGGGCTGCTCAAACCATACTGAGACAGGGCAACAGGACTTGTGATTTGTGTGTGATGATTGTTTCAATATATGTATCTCTGTGTGTTTTGGTGAGTGAAATGAACCCTGACCCTCAAATGAAACAACGTACTTTTTTTACTTGGGTTTTTATCCAAGAGACATGGTGTTAGATGTGCAGAGGAAGGAAACAGGTGTATCATAGAAGAGCAAAGGATGATTTTGCACTGCATGTTTTTGTCATTGCTTTTCTCTGAAATAGTTTCCTTGTGTTTATATCCAAGTTGCACTTGTGATTGTAGGTTTGCGATAAACATTCCGCAATGGCAAATCAGTCACTTTGCACAAATCACAAATATTCAGAAATGAATACATCACTTTCTCCATCTTGGAGGCATTTGCATTAGATATTAATGTAGTGATCATTGTGGTTGATTTATTGAAATGATTGAAAGCACATTTGCTGTTATTGTAAGAACTGGCATGAGCTTACAGCAATTTGACATGTTTTAGTGTTACTTCTCAGGGCTCATCACATTATGTTCTACTATCATTTGCCCAAAACAAGTCAACCTGATAGTAGCTAATAAGCTTTGAGCAAATTTGCTGCAGACCCTTTACGAGCAGTACAAGCACACATCCACAAGTATAGGTCTCCAATTATACACATTCACATGAGACACTTTGAAATAAAGATCAAATTGTCTTGTGCCCAGTGTGGGGTGCTGGACCTGCAGCCAGAGCAGAATAACTTTAAATATGTAACGCTTCATGTCACCTAGGATGCCTCAATGGTCAAATCATTTATTTTGCTCCTTGTTAAAGACGGGGAGGGGAGTCTGAATTCAATAAAACAGTAGCGTTTCTCATGATGGTAGCATCTGGACTAGTGTTGCACGGTGTACCGATACGTGAAAGGTACCGCGATACCCTGCCGTTAAAAACGTTACGATTCCTCCGTTTCATTAGTATCGGTACTTTCAGAATGACAGGGAAAAGTACTCCGGTGAGAAAGCGCTGTTTTAATAAGAGCCGTGTGTGTTCAGCGCTCTGCTTCCACTCCCTGCACTGCAGCCGTGCCTGCAGTCCCTCCCCTCTCGTGCACGCTCTAAGTGCCTCCCCTCTCTCGTGCACGCGCTAGCTGCCATGTGAGAAAGCGAGAAGCATGGCTGCAAGTGGGAGTGCAACTGCCGCTGCGCCTCGGCTTGTTGACAAAAAAGACGCCAGAAGCTACATTTGGAAGTATTTGAGCTATATCTCTGACAGTGAGGGCAAGCCTACGGACACCACGAGGCCTGTCTGTGAGACATGGTTTAATTTTATTTAATACGAATTCTTGTCATTTATTTTATTTATTGTTCTCATTGTTTAAAAGTTTGTGTTCTGGTTCTGGTGTGAAATAAAGCACAATAATTACATTTAAGACCGTTTCCCTTTTTTTAAGAAAAGTATCAAAAAAGAATCGGAATCGCAATTCTTGACTTGGTATCGGTATCGAAACCAAAATGTTGGTATCGTGACAACACTAATCTGGACTGTCCTCAGGAGGGCCAGGGATTTTCCAACTCATTAGGATCATGTTGCCGTCAACATTCTCTCAGACAGCCAAGCTACCTTTTTTAAGGTTGTGCAGCCGCAAAAATGTATGAAATCAGTCTCCCGTGGAGTGAATTCAAATATTCCTCTCCCCACACTCTGCCTCTTTTGGAATGGGTTTTCAATAGAAACATAGAGAAACATTTGCACATCTGGTCTGTGTCCTTGCAGGTTAGAAAAAGAGCAGTAGGGAGAAGACTGGGATTAGCAAGCTAGAGAGTGAAGGGGAATAGGTGATGTGTGGTGTAGTTATATCTTTTTTGGCAGTAATTCCCATTATTAACTATTAAAAAATGTCTAGTCCTGTAACTGCTTTGAAATTGTGGTGACACTTATAGGCTTTCAGAAAGATATTTACTGTCCAAACCCTTCTCAATCATTTGTGTGGCAGGACAAATGGAAAATGAGCAAATGCAAAAAGAGAAGAGGATTGAAGTTAAAAGAGTAGACTGTTTGAAATGTGTTTGCTACTGTGTATTTTCCTAAACACAGTAGAGCCTCGCTGAATAGTTTGTGGTTCTTGTGAGCACTGTAGTTTAGTCGTAGAGTCACCATGGAACATTACTGTCTGTTCTGTGCCACTTACTCCTTATTTACTAAGACCAACCCAGGCTGACTTTAATTGTGCTTTTTTTGGTGTTATATAGTTTAGTGCATGTAAATGGTCTCCAAAGGCTAAAGTTCCTGTGTTCCCTCAAGGGAGTTTCTCTCCCATACCCCCCCACAATGAGCATAATACAGATGAAAAGCTTATTGGATGTAGTGCTTTATTTCACATAAAGCTTCATAATGTTGAAGCTATATGAGGACAGAACTGTTAAACTGCTGAGATTGTGCCAATCATTTCTTAGCAATGGCTCAATGTTTCCACTAGTGTGACATGCTAGCTGACTAGCTCCAACAGTTTGTAGTTAAAGCATGGGTCTTTTATAACACTCACAAGATTGAGATCCAGATTTAGGTCTTGTGGTCTTTTGGAAGTTCTTGTGTCTTCAACCAGCAGTCCTCAGGTCATCGACAGCACGCACGCACGCACGCATGCACGCATGCACGCATGCACGCATGCACGCATGCACATGCTTTGTTGCTTTAGGAATGTCTTCTCCCTTTTGATGTTGCTGAGTTTTTCAATAATGGAAGGTGTTTCATATCGAGATCTTGCTGATAACACAGATGGTCAGTGTCCTTTGCGGGGTAGCATTTTTGGTATATTTCATTCCCTTTCAATTCAGCAAGCAGAAAAATCTGCATTTTTAATCTTAAGGTACTGACAGACTGTAAAATGTTTTTAAAAATAATTGGTGGACTCAGATTAAAGCAACAGTAAGAGACTTAAAATCATTGCAGCTGACTGGAACATAGCCACGAGGACTTGTAAGACTTGGAGCTGCTGTGCTGCAGTGAGCAGCGTACACAGTGTTGCCTGTGTGAGAGGATTTAGTGAAATCAGAAAACAAACCGTAAAATGGTATTTGCCTCAGGACTCACGCTGCCAGCCACTGCTTGTTGCATGAACGTTTGGTTGGTCACAAAACTGTCTGTTGGATAGTGCTGATTTTCAACGCTGCTTCAATGAGTTCTCTGTGGTGATACCTTTTTTTACAACCTTCCTCTTTTGCATTCCAGCAAACAGTATGCCCTACTTCATGTATCTGTTTGCCTGGTGAAAACACAAAAGTGGTATAAAAGGAAGTGTATGTTTGTTTGTGCACTCATTAGTGCATGCATTCTTACAATATGCAGCTCTCTGCCATGTCAGCTGCCAGTGAGGTTAACATAAACTCTGCCCTGCTGCATTACCTCTGTACTAACCACTTTTTGCTTTTAAACCCTACTCTTAATTTGCTTTATTAGGGCCTCTGCTTGATAGAGTCTAAGCGATGACCTATTGTTTTGGCTAGGATTCTTATTATTCTTATTATTATTATTATACTTAACCCTAATGAATCGCCTTTTTATGTGCCTTAGCATGCGTATAAAGTTGGGAATTAATTTCTGTTGAAAAATTTGATATTTTTGGGGTTTCTTAATTGGTGAAGGCAAGAAGTTAAAGAACCTGTGCTCTATAGCGCCCTCTAGATATTTATGAACAAGCAGCGCTTCGTTGTGCTTTCACCTACAAGTCTATCATTTGGTAGACATATGTAGCAACATGATGTGTTGACAGAATATCTACCAACCAATTCATTTTGTTTTAAACAATCAAAAGACAAATTCACAGGGTTACATATTATTGACACTACTGTCAATAAATGAGTGAATGATCTGTATACAAAATATGTATATTTTCATAAAGTATTATTCACATTTTCCTTCCTGTATTGAAGGTAAGTCAATCAACTTGAGTCTTTTAATTTCAACAATTGCTTAATACACAGGGCTGAATCACAGATTATACACATGATCCGGTTGATCGTCTGGATTGCTTCTGAGGAGGGGGCGGAAGTGTCCCTCCTAAAATAACCCAGATGTCACCTTGGCGCTACTTACTCTTACTGTTTCTCAAACAGTACAGATAAACCATAAAATGATATGAATGTCACCAAAAGAAATACAGATAATGTTGAGCTTTTCAAAACAATAAATTCACTGTTTCGCAAAAATAAATAAAAGTAAATACACAAATAATTGTACCATTTTTGGGGTGTACCACATTTGCATGAGCCAGTCAATAATGAACAGGGAGCTAGGCTCAAGTGTTGGCTGATCTCAGTTTTTTTCCCATATGAAGTGTCTTCCTGAACATTGTTCTCCTTAAATAAACAGTTTTGGGACCAGTGCATAATCTCAAACTGAATTAGGACATTGATCAGAAACTCAGGCCAGTGCAGTTAGGTTTCAATTAGGGCTGTCAAGTTAACGCGTTAATAACGGTTAATGCAAAAAAAAATGAATGCCACTAATTATTTTAACGGATTAACGCATGTGTATTTTTTGTCCTCGGCCGCCTCCTAGTTTCAGAGCGCATCGAGTTTAAAATACCATCTAAACTAAACCAGCAGGTAGCATGCACCCACTGTGCCCGTCTCCCCTCGGGCGACAGGAAGCGGAGAGCGAACGCTCTCGCTGCTGGGGCCGAGGAGGACAATTGGTCCGTCCAGGCTTACGAGCCTGCGGACGGGGGCCGAGTGTCCTTGGACGGGGGAGACAGAGTCAGAGCAGGGTGCCAGCTTGGCGGCCGAACATGCTTTCCCCTTCTCCGTCACCACAGCGCTACCGGCGATAGGTGGCATATAGGGGAACTGCCGGTGATCATACGCAAGGCGGCAGCCTGCAGAGATCTCC